TGACAGGGGACATTGATGTCCCGTCAGTGCCTTACAGAGGCGGCAACCCTCACACCATGGGAGGAAGAAAGCGTTTGATTAATTGGTTGATTCTGAGGGCTTATTTTTTTTACACCGGTACTCCCTTAAAATGATTTGCTAAATTAATTTTCTTCTCTTGCCACTGTCTCTTTTTTTAAAAATCTGCTTTAGATTCTTCCCCTGCTGTTTCTCTTTCTTTTTCTTTTTGGAGGAGGGGGTTATCAAGATAAATAGCAATGTTAACATTGAGGCTTATTTTGTATAGAAATTCCTGCAAAAAAAGCAGGAGTTTTAAGATAAAAAAGTACGGAAAGCTAATGACAACTGCTGGGAGCCGAAGGAAGCAGAGAATGGAAAAGTCATTTTATATTTATGCCTCTTTGCCATTTGATTGAGCTATTTCTCATAGTAAGTTAAAAATGGTCTCTTTTTTATATATCCTTTACATTTTTTTTTTAGAACCTCTCTGCTCTCCATCTTTAGAAATGTAAGCATCTTGATATTTCATAAACTTACTCTTTTCCAGTTTGCTCAGTTTCCAGGGTCTCAGGCCTAAGAAAGTATTATGGGATGCTTCCAACTTCTAATTATAATTACTTTGCTTTCCAGGATATTCAGAATTAGAGAGGATTACTTGGGAGGGTGGGAGAGCCAAAGAGCACAGGGTGACTTTCTGGGAATGGGGGCGTGGCCAGATGGAAAGGTCACAGAGGTCCAGACTGCAAGGATCCCACACTACTGAGAATAAAAGCAAGGTCAAAGACTCCCTTCCGTGAGTCACCTCCCCCTTACTCAACTCAATAGCTAGACGTTTACCATGAAAGTGGCTCTCTGTGGTTTCACTCCATTTCATTAAGCTGCAGATATAAAATGACACTGACAGTATACTTGTCGCGCTGACTAGTGCAGGCAGTTTTGTAAATTACTAAAAGGAGAATGCCATTTCTGAAGAGGGATCATTCATTAAGATATTATTAGTCATTCTATTCCTTAATGCATTCTATTTTTTTTTATAAAGTAAATATCATTTATCATTCAGCAAGTTTTTTTTTTTTTTTTTTTTTTTTTTTTGTGGGACCCTCACCGTCAGCCAGGGATCGAACTGGTGCTACAGAGGCTGCAGGCAGCCTCACAGCCCAGTGCTCAACCGCTGAGCCACCAGGGGAGGCCCTGCATTCTATTTTTTAATGGACGGCTATATCAGTTCTCTTCTTCCTATACAAAACAAGCCTTCATGTTAACATTGCTATTTATCTTGATAGCCCTCTCCTCCTTAAAAAAAAAAAAAAAAAAAAATCAGTGAGTCAGTGGGGTAAGACTCTAAAGCAAATTTCAACAAAACTAGACAGTGGCAAGAGATCAAAATGAATTTATGAATTTAGCAAATTATTTTAAGGGAGTTACTGTTTTAAAGTAAATAAGTCCCCAGAATTTTGAAAAGGTGACAGTAGAAAGACTTTAGATGTCTAAAGGAAGGAAAGGCTAGAAAGGAAGGCAGGGGAGAGAGGGAGAAAGAGACTATAAGGGTGAGAATAAGAGCAGACAAAAGCATAGGAGGTAGAGGCTAGCAGTTGTCAGCAGTCTTCAGAATTTGGAGTAGCAATGGATCTTGTACTTACTGATCTCTCCCATTAATACCCCCCTGGAAAATTCCATCCACTAGTCCTTTCTCTCCATGTGATAAAAGTTTACCAGTATTGAAATACATAAAAGTCTATAATAGCTGAATGTAAAACCCACAACTGTAAGTCCTCTGATCCATTGCCATCACTAATGGAAGGCATAAAAGCTCCACCTCTGGCTTAAATCATCCAATAATGTGCCCAGGAAACTGGGAAGCTCTTATCTCTAGACACAGAGGCCTCCTGCTTAGGTTTCCAGACTGGGTCTTCTGGACTCCTAGCCTCTGCTTCTTCATCTGGAGATGACTTTGGCTGGGTCTACCAAATTCTGATCTAGAAATGTAAAATCTTCCATTTAAACCCCAGATGTGTGGTCTGTGAAAAGACAAGACAATTGGTCTGTGGGAATCACTGAGTTGCACGAAGGAATTGGTCAGTTTTATAAAGAAAGGAATGGCAGACACCTGCAGACATAGTTAGGATTTATGAAGTTCAAAGAAAGAGGTGTACTGAAGTTCAGGCTGATAAACATAATACACAGGAAGGAAGCAATTTTGTTGAACTTCAACTTGTCAGAATCCTGAGCTGATCCCCAGGCCTGGGGCACATGGTTGACACCTCTTCTTTGGAGAGGGGTCAACGAAGTTGAGTTTATGTGCATTTATATTTCTAAAGCAGTTTTAAACATAATCACAATGGATTATGATTAATTATTATGATTATTTATTATGGGCTCATGGAGGTCTTCAGAGATATCAAAGGCTCATTATCTCAACAATCCCACATGAGTGCCAATTCTTATGTATACATTTTTTAAAAAGGAAATAAAACAAGCACTTGCAAAGGCCAGGTGATATTGTCTGAGAATATAGAATAAGCATGCCACAGAGATTAAGACTACTCAGATTTTTCTCAGGCATGTGATTAGATTTTATAATGTCTCCTAGAGACAGGAAATAGGGCACATATTTCCTTGTGCTGAACAGGAGACAGTAACTTGTCTTTAAGACATTGTGAGCCTTGCAATTGCCATGCTAGTCACCGATTCTAATATTCAATCTCACATATCTTAGATTCTGTTCCTGAAGATTGATGGAAAATCTCATGCCTTGAAGATGCATTCCATACTGAGTGTAGAGTCCTTTCAGAGCTGGAAACTCCAGCTTGATTACGACAGCAGCAAAGTACCCTAAGTCACGGAAGCTGCTTCTCATCATTCTAGTCTCTGCTTGGCCTGTGGACTATGTCCTGATAGGTGACCAACCACATTTCTTTTCAGCACATAATGCCTTCAGATATTTAAGATGTCAAAAAAAAAAAAAAAGAAAATTAAAGAGAAAAATCAAACAAATAGAGAAAGAATGAAAATCAATATAAGATATAGATCCAGAGAGACCTTAGTTTCCACTTTGCTTCTGTCCCTTGGGAAAATTATTTAAAATCTCTCTCTGTTTAGGTTTCTCCATATAAACACAATGAGAGAAATATCTACCCCACAGGCAGAGAGAGTGTCCAAATGAAATGAACTGTCTTAGTCTACTTGGGCTTCCATCATAAAAACCATAGATTGGGTCTGATAGACAAATGTATTTTCTCACAGTTCTGGATGATGGAATTTCAAGATCAAGGTACCAACCTGGTCAGATTCTGGTGAGAGCCCTCATTCCTGGCAGAGGCTATCTTTTCTTTGGGTCCACACATGGTAGAGAGAGAAAGAGCGTGCACACAAACTTCCTGGGGTCTCTTCTTATGTGGATACCAATCTTGCCATGAGGGCCTTTCCCTCATGACCTCATCTAGCCCAAATTACCTTCTAAAGGCTGAAACTCCATAAACTACCACATAATAGTATTAAGACTTCCATCATGAATTTTGATGGGACATAAAATATTCAGTCCATAATATGAGGTAAGCTATGGAGGGCCTTAGTAAGCATCTCTACTGTTTTACTTCAGCTATTACAATTTGTTTGAGGAAGAACAAGGCGTCCTGTTGGGAGAACATCTTTGTGAGTTGATATACCAAAATTAATTATTGACAAGTCTTGATATTTCAACAGTAAATATCTCCATATGATGTTTGTAGGTACCAGCATATCCTGAAGTGGAGAATTCAGTGTGACAATCTTTGCCTAAAATTTTCAGTTAAAATTCACAAGCATTCACGAATGTGTACAGTCTTTGGAAGATATTTCACAGGTATTTCTTGGGGTAAATAATATTCATACTTCCCAAAATGGGGTACAAAGAGCTGATACTGTGTTTGTCTGTTCCTAACAGTATACCCTTAAATTCTGTAATCTTTCTAGATCTCTGTTGTCCATGTAGGTTGTTACAGGTGCCGGGTAGATTATATGAAAGGCACCCAGCATAGTTCCTGGTTCCTAAGAGGGTCACAATAAGCACAGATGTAATTTTTAGGTTACTGGTAGAAAACATGGCTCTAGTTCTGATCTTGAGACCTTGGGCCAGTTATGTAAATAAGCTCTCTGGTTCTCAACTGAACAAGTATTTCTTGAACTCTCAGTTGAGAGTTTGGGAGGCTTCTTGGTTTTGGGACTTACTAGCTGTTTCCACTTTCATTTCTTTATGCTCCAGGTTCCTCAACTATGAAATGGGAACATAGAGTTATTATAGGACTAAATGTGACTCCAGAGACTGTGCTCTCAGCCAGTACCTATCCGGCTTCTTTCCTTTTGGTAATTCTTTTGTTAATACTGGTGTTTCATCTCTCAAAGTCTCTCCATAAAACCCATGTGAGAAATATGTTTTGCAATTTGGTGGTAGGAAAAGCTTTGTCTCCCACAAGAGTGTTTCCTCTTTTTGAAAGTAAGAATTATGAAATTTATCATGTGTTCTTTTTTGTCTTGGCTGCCAGGAAACTCAGAGCCAAACTGTGTGTTCAATGATGACCACCAAGTTGTTTCCATCTTCCTATGTCTTTGTTCCTTATTTTCCCTTTTAATTCCTTTTGTGCTAACATTTTTATTTGTGTCTCTTGTTGTCAGAGATCAAGGTGCTTAATTTACAAGTAAAAGTTAAGTTTTGAACATTCTCTGTTTCACTTGCTAAAAGAAAAATGGTCAAGGGGAAATTTAAAAGAATAATTTAAGAGGTATATTAAAGAGGAAAAAAATCAAATCAACAGAAAAAGAAAAGAACCAACGCTAACAGAGGCAACCGAAATGAAAACTGCAATAAATATGTCTACGGCTGGAAGTGTTTGTGCTTCCCTGGCTGGAACCTATCATTTCTTAATTACATCTTATGTGTGTTTTGCAAGATGGGAGCTGTTGTCAAGAGGAAGGACAGTCCCAGACAGGGGAAGGGCATGGTCTGCCCCTTGGTCCTTACCTACCTGTACAGAGGAGAAATCCCCCGAAGCACAGGCACCCAGAATAGCAGCACCCAGGAGAACAGACTCCACCTCTTGCGACAGGACCACAGGCATGCCTGCACAGGACAAGGCCACACCTTGGTTAGGGAGCAGGCTGGGGAGAGTGTGGCTGAGCCAGCAAATAACCACAGCAACAAAAACACTTGACTTGAAGGCATCAATGGGCAACTCCTCTCCACCCCCTGCGGTCCCTGTTCTTTAAGATGACCTAGCTCTAAAGGATTTCAGTGCTTATGCCTGGTAGTGCAGTAGCCCAGAGCCCCAGGAGAGCCAATACCACATGTGTCAACTCATGAGAACTACTGGCCCAGGCTTCCCAGGCTTCTGCTAGCTGCTATCTGGCATTGGGTTCAGTTCAACAAATAGCTGCTGAACTGCTGAGCCCAGGCAACACAGAGAAACTGACTGTTCTGCTACTCACATCTCAAAGGGGAGATAGATGAGAAAGAGATAAAGACCATGCAGGGGCTGGTTCTCTGAGATAGGCTAAGAAAAGGGAACTAGTAAGAAGGGATGGTGAGTCCCTCCAGAGGCTTCCTATTCCTTTCAGACACAAGCCAAAGCCCTCCCGCTGCTGACCTCCCAAGAGTCTCCAGGATGGGGTCTGCTTCCTCCCCTCTGGGTCTCCTGCTCCCTTCCCACATTGTCCTGGCTCCTTGCTCTTTCTTGAGTCTGCTTCAGGGCCCTTCTGTCTGAGTCATTTTCTCCCAGATGTCCACAAGGCGACTCCCTTTTTCTCCTTCAAGTGTCGGCATCCACATCTTCTTCCCACCAACCACCTGATTTAAAATAACAGCTCTCCACCGTCTGTTTCCCCATTGTTGCCCGACACTCCATGGCTGGCTTGTCTGTTTCTCCTTTCTACCTTCTAGAACATAAACTTCATGAGGGTGGGGGCTTTGTTCACAGCTGAATCCCTGGGATGGAACTGATATCCAGCACTCGAATGATGAAAGGAAGCATCTCTGGGGTGTTGAAAGGGTTGTTACCCAGTGGAGGTGGGGATTAAGAAGGCATTTACAGGGCTTCCCTGGTGGTACAGTGGTTGAGCGCTGGGCTGTGAAGCTGCCCGCACCCTCTGCAGCGCCGGTTCAATCCCCAGCCGTCAGTGAGAGCCCCACATGGAGCCCACATGGAGCGCAGACCTCTCCTGCCACCCGCTGCTCCCCTCAGCAGTGTAATTTGTCAGTCTGCCTGTTCTGTTCCCCGCTCTGTCTCTGGTGAATTCTCTCACCCTCCCATGCTTCTGGCTGTACCCAGTGCTTGTATGAATAAATAAATAAATAAATCTTAAAAAAAAAAAAAAAAAAAAAAAAGAAGGCATGTACAGGAAGAGCAGGGCCATCCAGGCAGGGAGGAGTGCTCTGCATGCCAACTGCCAAGGTTAGGTCTTGCGGTGTACTTAAGGTTAGCAGAAACACTTTAAAATTCTAGGATTTTACATGTGTGTCTGTAATAAAAAAAGCTCTATAGTGTAAACACAAATATATTTGCTAATCAGGAGATGGCAGCAAACTCCACAGAGGTAAGCTTTGTGGCTGGTCTATAAAATCTTTCTAAGATGTTAGCGATGCTTTTCCGAAGACTGGATTTCTCTCTCCTTTTCTGGGAAGACTTCCCTGATAGCCTTCTCTTCACCGCCACAATGTCACTCACCCACCTGCTGCCCCAGTGTCCCAGGAAGAGAGGGCAGGAAACAGGATTTCCACACATACCCCAGGGGCTTGAACCAGGCCTCACACTGCAGGGTGAGCACCTTAGACTGCTGACAAGGTGTAGGGCATGATGGAGTCTCTGGGAAAGACTCAGGCCTAGGTTTGTTTCCTAGTCCATTATGTCTGTGTCCTTAAGAAAGTCACTGACATTCTAGCCTCAGTCTCCTCCTGCACAAAATGTGCATCAGACTTACCATACAGGTTTGCTATGAGGCTAGTGAGAGAGACACACAAGGTCTTAGCACATCCCCGGCCTATGGTGGCTGCCACTGTTAGGATGAATATGTGGTGAGGGGAGCCCCCTATATGCACTTCACCTGGACTAGAAAGAGCTGTAAGGAAGGGACAGGGCAGGTGCCTATCACTCACCCAGAGGATGTTAGATATGAGGCCCCACTGAAGGACTGAGCTGGCCAACTCAGGGGAAAACACTGCTTGCCTCAGCAGAACCCAGGCATTGCGCAGATGGCAGTGTGACCCCTTGACTGGATGACTTTTTTAAATTCATTTTTTACATCATTGTTCATTTTTAAACAATATTCGCTTCCCCCCTCCCTCAGACCCCAGAGAATTTCCTTCACCAATGCACCCAAGCATCATCACCACAATCCCTACCTCCAAATGCCATTCACCCCATTCACCTCTTTGCCCCTCCTTATACCCCATAAACTGTTCTCCCCAAGTGCAATCCAAAGGGTGCTGGAGCCAGACTGCCAGGGCTGGAGTTCTGGCTTCCTTGCCCACAGAGCTGTATGATATTAGGCAAGTGACCTAACCTCTCTGAGCCTCATTTATCCCATATGCAAAATAGGGTTACAATTCCACCTACCTCACAAGGTTGCTGCAAGGATTGTAAGTGCACTCATAAGCAAGTGCACTCTTAAGCACTGAAAACTAGGTTTGGCTTAGAGAATGCACTAAATTAGTACTAAATGTTATGGTAATTCAAATGTACATGATCTCTGCAGTCTCCCCTCACCCCTATTAGTGGAACCAACTCACTGCTGCCTTTTGCCCCTCAGGCCAATCCCATCTCTTCCCTTCCCAACTGGCTCTAGATCTGCAGAGACTGGCCTCTGTGGCCCGCATCCCTGGTCTCCTTGCCCCTGACTCAGGCTGGTGACCTTCCTGTCCAGAGTCCTACAAAGGCAGGGTGGTTTCGACCGTGAGTAACCCCAGGGTGCTGCCTGACGTCCCACACCCTGCTCACACCTCTGTAAGTACACCATTTATTAGGCTCCCCTCCAGGGACTCCATTCAAGTGTGTCATAGCTTCCCTGTCTGGACCTGACACTTGTGGTACTGACTGGTACTGACACTTGTGTCCCCGGGGTCCCCCCCTATACTCTCTGGACGTGGGTGAGCGCCCTGAGCTTACTTTTCCTGTTTGTAATAACCCTCTTAGCAGGGCATTATTCTTCTTTGCAGACACAAACCGAGTTCAGAGAGAGCTTGTGCGTGAATAAATGCAGGGACAAATGATTTCAGTAATGGATGAGACAGAAAGAGGGAAACCCCTACTGAAATTGCCAGAACTGAAAAACAAAGTTTAAAAGGAGGAACATTTAGTCCCAAGTCAGTGGGGGAGACCTATAATTAGTCAGTATACACCAAGTATTTCTCGAAACCACAGGTAACATTAAATGCCCAGGGAAGAGGAGGCTCCTCCTCATGGAGAAGACATTCTCCAAGTTGGCAAAGCTCTGCTCCCCCTGCTTGCAGGGAGCAGGTTGTTCTCCAAATGGAAAGGATTTGCTTAACAAAATAATCAACTGTGTGTTTTTTTTTTTTTTTTTTCAAAGGCACCTCCTTTTTGGCAGGGGACTGCCTCAAGGGGAGATGTAAACTAACATTTATTGAACAACTACTTTGAGTCAGACACAGAACTCAGTGTGCAAAAACTCACAGGCATTTAATCCTCAGCACAATCTATAGAAAGGAAATACTATTTCTGACTTTCAGAAGAGGGAAATGAGGCTCAGAGAGGTAAAGGAACTAGTCCAAAGTCACAGAGCGGGCCTTCCACTCTTTTCAAAACTCCACGCTATTTCCAAAGAATCTTCCAAATCCCTTGTGTTTTTCACATATATTCCTTTGAGTTACATACCAGATCTATGATCTCTAAATCTTGCAAGAAAACTGAGTAATTACTATGTTTAAGGGCCCCTGAGACTCTACCTATACACCCACTGCTTGTGTACGTGTCTTTTACAAGCACAGATGCAAATGTGTTCCTTTTTTTTTTTTTTGAGTGCTGGGTGAGGGAGAGGAAGAAGGCAGCTCTGCCTGGAATGTGAACTATTTTATCTGATGCATTAATGAGTTTAGCAGAACCCAAAGCATTTAAAGGCAGATGCACTTTGCCATCACTTGTCAGTCACAGACTTCCCAAGGCAGAGGAATTCCAGGCCAAAGAAAAGGTCCCTTTGTCTGGAACTGTAACTGGTCCATAGTCAGAGACAAAGGGTCCAGTTTCAATCGGAATTCATATAACGATTAACAGCCTTTTCATTCAACAGCCTGAAGAAGGAGAACAGTTCCCAAAGCAGAACTTTCTGAGAAGCCACTGCACCCCCTGCTTCTGAGTCAGCTCAAGGGTGTGAGGCCTGGAAGGGGACCCACTTTCACAAAGGTCAGAGCTGCAAAGCCCAGCCAGGGGCCCAAGGTCATGGGGATTGCACTGCACTGAGGCCCTTTTCCCCTTCTCTGGGTAACAAGTTAGCCAAGGCTTATTGTATCTCCCTCCTGCATCCAGGTAGGAAGCCTCTGAAGCTATTGGAGGGCTGGGAATTGGAAAGTCCCTCACAGATCAGGTTTGAAGTCTGAACCTTATCCGATCCAGCTCTCTGACAAAATCTAGACAAAATGTAGGTATGGTTTTTCCTCAGGGAAATGTATAAGATCATCTTGGTTCCTTTTTATATCTTTCCTCTTCCTGCCTTAGAACTGCCCACTTCTGTAGATTTTAGAGGCTCCTGGAAAGGGAAATTAGCACCAAATGGTTAGGTAGAAAGTGGGCAGAAAAATTAGGAAATCCTGGTGGGCAACACAGCATAGGGGATGTCAGGCCTGGATATACCTGGGTTATAAGCCTGGCTCTGTCCCTTACTGACTGTTTGACTTTGGACAGTCAGTTTAATTCATCACCCCAATCCTCTCTTTCCTCTATGCCAATCACTGCCTGCTGGTGCCATGTGAGGGTTACAGCTTCACAATGACACATGTGGGGGCCTGGATAATGGCAGGAATTTCTATATTTAATATCTTCAGGTAGCCCTGACACTGCGTGATTTTTTATCCTATCTCCTGGCTCATGCATCAGTCTAAAGTAACCTATTTAACTGATGCTTGCAAAGTGCAGGGGTCAACTATGCCCATCATATTTGGTAAAGCTCCCATCTGTGAGAATCTGCATTGCCTGGACTGGGGAGGGAACTATGATGAACTAAGTCGGGGCAGACACGTTGACCTACCCACCTATTAGAGGTGAGGAATCCGGGGAATGGGGGACAGCAAGTGATTGCTATGAACAGTGGCCAGTGTTGGGTAGGCTCATTATCAGGCTGGATTTGGGGTGGCGAGCAGAATCCAATCTCCTCTGGTTCTCTCCCCTTGCCCTGCCCTGGTACCTGGTTATCATGGGATGGACCTTAGGAGGGAACACCAGTCCCTAGGAGACTTTGGGAGAGAAAGGAGCACAAGGCAAGGGTATCAGCTCCAAAGAGACAAATACCCAGAACAGTCCTGCAATACCAGTAAGTCTCCTGCCAATGGCGCCCCTTCCTAAGGGTCCAGGGTTATGTCCCTGGGATCCTGCTCTGCTGTTGTCTGCTCAGATCCTGCTCTGCTGTTGTCTGCTCAGATCATGGAGGCATTAGCCCATCTATCATGATCCCTGATTCTGATGAGCTGAGAAGAAATCAGAGGATCTCAGGGTTTTAGTGCTGAAGTTCTTATCTACAGCCAGGCCCATGGTTCCCACAGCAGATGGGCTCTGCAGTCTTTCTCAAGTCAGCCTCCTGGTCACTTCCTCCAGACCCCTTGCCCTGTGCAATCACAGGTCCAAGCAGGGGCAGGTGCCCTACTGTGTTAGCAGAGTACTCTGTGCTTATCTCACTCACAGCTCTTGCCCCACTATATTTAATGCATGTGTTTGCTGTCTGCCTTCCTCAGAAGACCTTGAGCTCCTTGGGGGAGGGATCAGGTCTTACTCATTTGTGCTTCTTCAATATGCCCCACAATGCGTGAAGTGGAAGAGATAACTCAAGCCTGCTAAGTAAAAACTGAATTAAGTAAGATCTGGCCCTTATGATCTCTCTTTTCTCATTTCTCATTGTTATTCAATAGTTGTATTTGCATAGAAGTCAACTGTCCTATGGAAGATTTCATATTTATCTACAGAAAAAAAATGTATTTTTAACATAAATATTCAAAATAATGTGGCATACTATCTACCTCCCCCTATTCCCAGCCCTGTCTAGATTCTGCCATGCCTATTTGCTGCCAAGCCTAAAGTGGCGGCCTCTCCACCTCCTCAGACTTACCAGTGATGTCCGCATGCATTTGCACAAAGAGGGGGTTCTTGCTGAGGCCTCCGCATAGGAAAAGAGTGCTGATCGAGTGTCCTGCTGCCTCCATGGCCTCTACAATGAGGCGGGTCCCAAACTGAGAGGGAAAAGCAGGAGAAAGCATCAGTATAGTTGCACAGGAATCGATGGGTGCATTTACCAAGTGTGGACCCAGTGCCAGATACCACACAGAGAGCTTTCTGCACACTATTTCAGGATCTGGGGGGAGTTTATGTTGTCGTTGATGGCACCGTTAACCGAGCTGCAGAGAGGGAATTCCAACCAGAGCCTGCCCAACTCCAAAATTTTCATGACTATACCATTTGCTTCCAATGGTAGTGATAGGACACTGCAATGTGAGCAGTCAATATTAACACAGTTCATTCAAGCAAGTGTTTGATGAGTGTCCATTGTGGTCCAGGTCCTCTGTTAGGTCCTGGGAAAGGAGTGATGGGCAATACTGCTCTGCAAATAATGGTCACTGGTCCCTGATCAGTTTCCCTTCCCTAAACAGGAACTGAAGAGGACGGATCTTTGGAAAGGTGCCAAAGAATTCCACAGCAGAGACAAGGAAAGGGGGTTCTGATTGCCGAAGAATTGAGACAAAGTCTTCACACAGCAAAGTTAAGGTAAGCTGACCTTCATTATCACTTGAAATCAGGGAGTGTCTCTCTAGTATTGTGAATTCCAGAGCCAGAAGCCTTTCCTACTTGATCTTTGAAGATCTGCAATGATGCAAAAATCACGTGCTCTGGTTGGCTCAGGGATTCTCTGTTTCCATATCTTCCTAACATACCTGCTCTTGTCCTGTTCAGTAAAAATGCTTGAGAAGAAAATAATACTACAGGTTCATTGAGGTGAATTTTAATGTACAATTTTTTAGTTTTAGCTAGGATATTTGAATAGTTAAAATCATAATTTTTTGGAAGTTAAAGTAGTAGAAAGTCATAAATTATACCTTTTGGAGGTAAGGATTAAAATCACAGACATGAACTATGACAATGCCTCAGGGGGTAGTAACATGGTGATGTTTGAAAAAGGGGCTCAGGAGCGAAATAAAGTAGAGGGTGTTATGGCTGAGAGAGAGAGACCTTGAAGTGTTTTGAGAGTGAACATTCCGGGGGCTGACAGAGACCCAGGTGTGGTCAAAGACGAATTGCTGAGGCAGAAGGGCAAAGTCGAGGGACATAAGGAGGGCAAGGATCTGGGAAGCCACAGGTGGTGCTGCCAATGAGAAGCAGGGCTGGGGCTGTAGGGAAAATGGAGCTATCTCACATTTAGTAAAGATGTGATGGTGTAGCTAGGAAGTGATACCCGAGTTCATAGGAGCAGTTTTTCCTGAGGGCATGCTATATCAGAGGTCTAACCAAAGTAAAGGACAGGGATTTGGAAGTGGCCAGGATGTTTCCTCCCCTCTTTCGGGGGTGGGGTATAGGCCAAGGGGACCTCCTTTGACAAGGCTGTCTGCAGTTACCTACCCTGTACACAGGGGTCCTCCTGGGCTACAGTGGCTACAGGCGATCATGGGACACGAAATCCTGATTACTGTGGAGGAAACACTGAGGGGCAGGGGCAATTCAGGAGCAAAAGCACAGAAGTTCCAGTCTGGAGGTCTTCAGGGTTTGGTGGGGCCATTAGTGAATCTGGTAAGAGCATGGATTAGGTGAAACTTGGGCTTCTAAAGATAGCCACAGATGTAGTGTGTTAAAAAAAAATTAAAACATGTTGTAAAAAGCCAGATCCTGCATATTGAATATGGCTGATTACCCCCAGATGTTCTTTTTTAAGCTTTGGAGGGTCATGAACCCTCTTGAGGATCTGATAAAACTTACTGACCTCTCCAGAAAAAAAAAATCCATACAAAGTAGTAGTATAAATAATTTCAGGCCTACAGATGCCCTCATATCCATCATGGATCACTGGTGTCTGTAGATTCCAGAAAATCCTAGTCTACTCCAGGGGTATGGACAGAGAGTAGCTACAGTGTGGCTTTCATTGAGTTAAAAAAAAACAAGGATGGCATTCAGGCATCTCATCTATTTCTTGTATCAAACCTCTATATAATCTTTCTAAGTTTTCATTCTCATTGAAAAAAAATGAAAGGAATAATGCCATTCTTCATTCATTTGAAAATTCCAAAAATTGCCAGAAATGTTAATATGCCAAAAATTAAAAATTGTCTAAGATTTGATGAAATACGGTAATACTCACCTTGCGTGGTTGCTGGTGCAGACAGTGTACAGAAACTCCAGCACATGGAAGGTGTTCTGGTAATTAGCTATATGCCAGGAGCTCTGCTATGCACTTTAATGTCACCTCTAACCTTATGACAGACTCTAAAACTGCGAAATGTTATCCCCATTAAGCGTCATATAAATTGCCTAAGGCCATCCAGTCAGTAAGTGGGGGAAGGTAGCTGCCTCCCACTATGGATGGAAATACCATGCAAAATTGATACTTCGAAAACCAGAGACCCGGGACGCACATGATTAGCAGGCCTGAGCGGAGAGTAATACAAAGCACATTGCCTGGGAAAAAGGAGGAAAGACTCAAACAAGAGGCTCTCCCTCGAGAGCGGCTGTGATAGTCTGTCTCTCCCCTGTGTGTCTTTGTCGGCTGGATTTCCCACTCGGGCTGGCGGTTAGTTACAGGACATTCCCATCCCTGTCCCAGACTCCACTCTGTGAAAAGCTCCACCCTTCTTAACCGCCTTCACCAAAGGGCTTTGTGCTAAAATGATTTTGTGCTCACCTTTCTGGAAAAAATGTTTTCACAGAGAAATTTAAATTAAAATTAGCCCATTCCATTGGGAATGTACAGAGCCAAATGCAAATTGAGAGACTTCAAATGCAAATAGTACTTTTTAAGGGTCTGTTCAGAAAAGAAAACTATAGATGAACAGGCTATGGATAAACTGGATGTTTGACAGGTCTTTCAATTAAGTGCGATCAAGAGAGAATTTTTACTTCATGGACCGTTTCACACAAAGTTAACTTCATTACAATCTCTTTAATTTCATTCTATTCTTATAAAATACTATCTACAGATATTACTAAAGAGAGGAATTCATTTAACTTTAACTTTATTAACAACACATTGGTGCCAGGGCAACGTTCAGACTTAAAGAAATAAAAATGATTTTTTCAACTTAAATATACTAAGAAATTATGTTATCAGAATGCTTTCCTACAATGCACATTTCTGCATATAAGATCAGCACAACCAGATATTTTTTTGTAAAACAGACTGAACTCTTTCCAATTCAACTGACTCCACAATAAAACCTTATTGAAAGATCTCTGTCTTAAATTGCCTTCCCTTTGTGTTATTATTAAGGTCATTAAGACAATGGACAGAATAAATATGATAGCTTTTAATACACGTAGGGCCCATTAAATACGAGATTGATTTTCCAAGAGTGTGGCATTTGGGAAAATGTATCTGGCACTCCCCCCACCCCCTGCATTAAATTTAACCTCATGTATATATTATATTCTTGGACTCTTGCTGAGTGCTCTTACCAGGAAGGAGATCTCTGTGAGACAATCCTGGCCAAATTAACAATGTTTTCTAAGATGTGTCAAGTGAAAACTATTCCTGGGAATGCCTGAAAGCTTATTTTGTCCATGAAGCTTTTACTAATACATCAAGGATAAATGCAGCTTGGTACAGTGTGAAGAATAGAAGCTTGGGAGTGAGACACTAGAGGTTCAAATTCCAACTCTGCCATGTACCATTGTTTGACTGTAGGACATGGTTTTTCATGTCTGTGAAATAAGGACAATCCCACCTACTTAGAGGGTTGCTGCCCTAAATTCAGGTGGGCAAGACACTGTTTGGTGCCTGGCCCAGAGAGAGAGGGTCAATGAAAAGAACAGTCTCATGATGTCACACTAGTGACAGTGCCCTTAGCACATCCTGTTTGGCCTCGTTCTTCAAGTCTGCCTCTTAACGTGGACTTTATGAGCATCACACTGTTTTGATTTTTACAGGATTATTCAACTCAGTGCAAGCTGATCACTCCACTAAAAGACTTTTCATACAAATCAGAAAACAAAGGTTTCTCAATTCTTCATGTATCTAGTTTTACTTTATCAATTTGTTGGGGTCAAATCACAACTCTCCCATTTATTAGTGGCATGAAACTAAGCGAGTTAATTAGCCTCACTGAGGTTTAGGCTTCTAATCTGTGGAATGGGGAATATATTAATAATTACTTCATAAGGTTGGGTAAGGTAATGTTTGTAAAATATTTAGCATAGTGCCTAGCACATAATACCCCAAATCTCTATTATTTACTATTATTATCATCATCATGATGATAATAAATATATTATATTTACCACTGATGTACATTGTTTTTTTTTGCTTTGCTCTTCTTTTTGGATGCATGTTTTTGATCTCCCTTCTCACCTTACTATTCATTTTATCCATTCTGATAAATGTCAGAATTGTCTGTTTTTGACCAAGTTCCCATAAATAAAGCAGGTTGATTGATTTCACTAAACTGGTCAAGCTATTAAATCAATAAAACAGTTGCTTTAGGAAGACACAGTCAAACTGGCCCACAAACTAAAAGGATTGTTTAATCAAGCTGACTGATTCTATACCCTATGCAGCTACCTAAAAACTGTATATTCTGTTAGTAGCTGGGAAATTCTGCCTCTTATCATATGTTCAGACACCTGAACAAATTTGAATATAAGAAAAAGCACATTTGTTGGTGATAAATCTGCTTAGTATTGTTGGGGAAAATCTACATTGTTCTAAAGCAATGAGGTTATGAAAAAGGTTATGTTGGAGAAACAAAATAACTGACTAGCATGTAAATATGTCCATATAGCATTAACATGCAAACAAAAACTTTAAATAACTTGGTTCAGAAAACCAAATTTTGAATCAGAATTTAGTGAGCTGACCTTTCCTTTTTGTTGGTCCCCATTCTCTTTCTCAGCCTCAATAGATTATTATTACTATTTTTAAAAGATCTATTTATTTATGCATACAAGGACCAGGGTACAGGCCAGAGGTGTGGGGGTGAGAGGATTCAGCAGAGACAGAGCGGGGAACAGAAAAGGTGATGGACTGAAATACACTGCTGAGGGGAGCAGCGGGCGAGACAGGAGCCGTCTGCTGCACCATGTGGGTAGCTCCCTGGCCGGGGCTAGAACTCGTACTGCAGAGGCTGCAGACAGCTTCATAGGTTGCATCTTAACCCCTTGCACTACCAGGGAGGACCTCAATAGATTATTATTATGGAGAGTTCCTATTAGCTCTGAGACTCTGAAACCCATGACCAACTCCCCGAGATATGTTTGCTAGCATGTGTACAATACAGTTTTTCATGAGTGATTTTAGGGCTCAGAAACCTCTTGTAATCCATTCATGGATATTCTCTAGGGAATATGATCTTAGATAATGATATTTGAACTTCTAGAATTTTGTTTTCATTTTTGAATTTGAGCTTAGGAGACCCTAACACTTTAGATATAAATTCTCGCTTTTCTCCCTCCCTCACCATCCAAGTCTCTCATTGAAGCAGCTAATGATCTAAAACAAACATGTTTATGTTCTAAGGAAGCTTATATTTAAAAGAATTAAATGAATTCCTTTGCAGTGAACTATATCACGCATTTTATAATTGTGGACATCCTTTATATGAACTTCATAGTACAAGCATAGATGGCCTCTGCTTGCTTCTATTTAATTGAACTTAGAAAACACATTAGATAAATGACAAGTCTGATGTTTAAAGATTTTAACTCCTTTGCAAAGCTTTCAGCTGTGTGAGGTTACTAGAAGCAGGTGAAGATCTTTGTCAACATTTCCTTCCAGGAAAAACAAGCATCTCTTTTTGGCAGGCACTCTCTTAATTAAGAATCCTGTCACAAAAGCATATATTTCGGGGATGTATGTGGTTTAAAGTTTACCGGTAGTCCTGAGTCTCAAAATGTTATTAAAGAGTCTTACAGAAATGGCTTGCACTGTGGCCAGGTAGAGAATGGCAAGATCATCTAGGTCCTGAGACAGTTTCAATCCCGTAACCTGTAGGGATGAAGAAAAGGAGATGGTCAAAAGGAGCTGCCATAGAGATAGTTCCCACGAAACACGTTCAGATGTGTTTCCTTGTTGAAACAAGTTCATATGCAAATCCCCTTTATGTGAGCTGTACGTGAAATGCCTACTAAATTGTTTAGTCTCCAGACCTGGGAAAACTATCCCTTCTTCCACCAAAAGGAAACGCCTTGTCTTGGGTTAAGTAACAACAAAACAAACAATATAGAAAGAGTGTGTTTGCTATTTCATAGCATGGGATTACACAGTCTTCTTTAAAATGGCTTTTATTACAAATACCCATTTTCTTTGGCTTTCAGAAATCAACACAGAACAGTGACATTCTAGTAAAGGATGATCTTTTGTTTCAAGTCTGTAGGGTCAGGAATGACCACTGAGCAGGTTTTCTGATCCCATGCAGACTGGGTAAAGGAGGAGTCAGAGTCCTCAGTGGCTTTTGCAGGCCTTTTATTGGGATTTACCATGTACATGACAGGTAGGGGCCTGGGGGGTGTGGGGGTGGGGGCGGGAGGCTGGCAGGCCTCCCAGCCCCCATTAAGTCTTCACTCTATCTGTGATCTCTGCTTCTACTTCTTTGCTTCTCTCTTGGCTTCTCTTTCGGCTTCTGCTCGGCTTCTATTGGTGTCCCCGTGACACCACCCTTGAAAGCCCAGTCTCAGCCCAGGTGAATCCCATCTACCTGTGCCCACACCCTACTCCAGGTGCCTGCCATCAGGCCTGCATTCAGGACCACAAGGATCTATCATCTATCCTGATAGCAGGAGGGCAGAAAAGCCTGACATTTTTCCTTACCCTACAGTATAATGTGGATATGCCATATCTTCTTGATCTAATTGTCACTGCATATTTAGGCTGTTTCCATATCCTAGCTATTGTAAATAATGCTGCTGTGAACATTTGGGAACATATGGATTTTGTGCTGATAGTTTCAAATTCCTTGGATAGACACCCATGAGTGGGGGATTGCTGGGTTGTACAATATTTCCATTTTAAGTTTTTTAAGCTAAGTTCAGATTGCTTTCCACAATGTTTGCACCACTTTCTATTCACACTAACAGTGTACTAGGGTTCCTTATTCTCTGCATCCTCTTCAACACCTGTCAGATCTTTTTAATATGTACCATTCTCACAGGTGTGAGACGGTATCTTATTGTGGTTTTAACCACATCACTTTTATTGGAAGAGACAATGAACATTTTTTTATATGCCTATTGGACATCTGCATAGTCTCTGTGAATTGTTTGTTCCTATCTGCTATCCATTAATTTTTTTTGTTGTTTTTGATTAGTTTTTTAAATACATATATATATACATCTTGATTGTTATCCTTTATCTGTCATATTTTGTGTGAATATTTTCTCTCATTCAATAGGATGCCCTTTAAATTGTATTTTCTTTTACCATATAGAGGCATTTTAATTTGAGGCAACATATTCATTTTAGTTTCAGTTACCTTGCCACAGGTGTTGGGTCATAAAAAAAAACACTTTATTGTTGATACCACAGAACATATCACCCATGTTTTCTTCTCTATCTTTTATTATTGCAGTTTTTATATTTAAATCTTTAGTCCATTTGGAGTTTACTTTTGTGTTTGGGATTAGCAAGTGACCCAACTTCATTTTTTTATGTATGGCTTTCCAATTTTCCCAGCACCACTTATTAAAGACACTGTCCTTTCCTATTTTATGGTAATAGCTGCTTTAGCACAGATTAGGTGCTGGTATGTTCATTGACTTATTTCTGGACTTTCAATTCTATTTCACTGAACCAAGAATCTATTTTATGCTGTAGGGTAAGGTAAAAGTATCAGGCTTTTCTGCCCTCCCACCATTAGGATAGATGAGGGAACGCTGTAGTCCTGCATGCATGCCTGATGGCGGGCACCTGAAGTGGGTACACCTGGGCTGAGAGACTGAGTTTATAAGGGCGGCATCACGGGGAGGCCAGCAGAAGCCAAGAACGAACAGAAGCCGAGAGAAGCTGAGAGAACACCAGAGAGCCCAGAGTGAAGACCTGCTGGGGGCTGGGAGGACTGCCAGCCTCCCGGCCCCCCAGCACCCCCGCCTGCCATGTGCCTGGTCAATCCCAATAAAAGACCTGCAAAAGCCACTGAGGACTCTGACTCCTCCTTTATCTGGTCTGCTGGATCAGAAAACCTGCTCAGTGGCCCATTCCTGCCGCTACATATGCCTATACCATACTGTTTGAAATCAGGTAATGTGATACCTCCATTTCTCTCTGTAAGGGGCGGACAGGACACAGTGCAGGTTTTCTGATCCCATGCAGACCGGGTAAAGGAGGAGCCAGAGTCCTCAGTAGTTTTGCAGGTTTTTTATTTGGGGTTCACCAGGCATATGGCAGGCAGGGGTGCTGGCTGGGGGGCTGGGAGGCTGGCAGGCCTCCCAGCCCCCCAGCAAGTCTTCACTCTATCTAGGTTCTGCTGCTTCTCGGCTTCTCTTTTGGCTTCTTGGTTGCTGCTGCTGCTGCTGCTGCTGCTGCTGGCGTCCCCCCGTGACGCCGCCCTTAAAAAGCACAGTCTTAGCTCAGCTGAATCCCATCTACCTATGCCCACACCTTATTCCAGGTGCCCGCCATCAGGCATGCATTCAGGACAAGGATCCATCATCTATCCTGATGGCGGGAGGGCAGAAAAGCCTGATATTTTCTTTACCCTACAGTCCACCCCCTCAGGGTTTTCTGCCATACAGTCTATACATATATATACAATTTTCTAAGCAAACAAACAATGCAGCCATGGCCCACAAAAGCAAATACATCAAATATAACAAAATACAATATAACAATACAACAGAACACAAATAAGTCCAGGCAGGGCCCCAACCTAGTGCAAAAGACAATTATTGGTACCAGCAGATGAGCCACCAAATCTGCTGCCAAAGGCACTGCTCATACGAGGGAGGGGAATCACTCATGGCATCTACTGTATCACACCAGGAGCCGTCAGGCTTCCTGGCCTTCTCTGGCTGTAGTCTCGGCTACAAGCCACACACAGCATCCACCCCCAGGATGCACTAGCTCTGGGATTGGCAATTTTATTCTGTTGGGGGTAATCGCCAACCCTCAGGGTTTCTGTCTGCAGTCGCTCCAACACTCGGCCTTCACAGCCACCCATGCGACTCGCAGACCCCTGCACTCAAGCCAACCCACTGCACAAGCACATGGGTTGGGGATCAAAACTCTACATGTGGCTTGGGCTCCACCCCAAGCCACGTTCCCCACCCGTCCCCCAAGGACAGGTTCCTCAGCTCCTCACCCTCACTCAAGAATGAGCAGGGCATCACCCACAGGTGATTTTACAAGACTCACAGGTCTTCAGCATACCCAGGCTGCTTAACAGCCACTCAGGGCTTCTCAACTTAGCATCAGTACCAGCTTTTGCCTTCTTAGTTGGCTTTTCTCCTCCACCTGGCTGCTGGGCATGCACAGGCTGCTTTTGGCCATCAAGGCCCACTGGCCACCCCCAGATTCTCAAAAAAAAAAAAAAAAAATAACCTGCCAAGGTCCTCCGCCTTCTGGCGGGATTGTCAGTCCAAGTTTATCAGTCCATGTCCATCAGTTGAAGTCCGTTGGCCTCTCCTTGCATCAGCAACGGCCTGCTGCCTCAGGGGTCATTGGCTGGTCCTTTCCGGTGTCGTTGGCTGGTCCTTTCCGGTGTCGTTGGCTGGTCCTCTCAGGCATCTCCTCCATGCGAGGTCTCGTTCCGCAGCTCCTGGACCAAATCCACCTTCTGTGCCGCCATGGCGCCTCCAGCGTCATCACAGGCAAACACAGTTACCCCTTAGTCCCTCCAGGTCTTCGGAGGGCTCCAATACCCGTCTGCATGGATCCTGCCGACTACGCCAATTGTAAGGGGCAGACAGGACACAGTGCAGGTTTTCAGATCCCATGCAGACCGGGTAAAGGAGGAGCCAGAGTCCTCAGTAGTTTTGCAGGTTTTTTATTTGGGGTTCACCAGACATATGGCAGGCAGGGGTGCTGGCTGGGGGGCTGGGAGGCTGGCAGGCCTCCCAGCCCCCCAGCAAGTCTTCACTCTATCTGGGTTCTGCTGCTTCTCGGCTTCTCTTTCGGCTTCTTGGCTGCTGCTGCTGCTGCTGCTGCTGCTGCTGCTGCTGGCGCCCCCCCGTGACGCCGCCCTTAAAAAGCACAGTCTCAGCTCAGCTGAATCCCATCTACCTATGCCCACACCCTATTCCAGGTGCCCGCCATCAGGCATGCATTCAGGACAAGGATCCATCATCTATCCTGATGGCGGGAGGGCAGAAAAGCCTGATATTTTCTTTACCCTACACTCTCCTTTTTTCCTCAGTCCTGCTTTTGCAATTCAAGGCCTTTGTGGTTTCATATAAATTTCAATATTTTTTTGTTCAATTTTCTTGAAAAATATTGTTGGCATTTTGTTGATGAGTTCCTTAAATTTATAACATTTGGGGCAGGATAGCCATTTTGATCATATTAATTCTCTCCATCCATGATATGAGCATGAGATAACCTTCCAGCTCCTTATGTCAATACCTAAGTAATTTTGAGGTATTTAATTATTTTGGAAGCAATTATAAATGGAGTAATTTCCTAAATTTCTTTTGCTACTTGCTTATACATAAAAAGGCCATTTTGTTGTATTAATTGTTTCCAATTCTTTTTTATGGGATCTTTAGAATTTTTTCTATATATCATATCATTTGTAAATAGTGATAAGTTCACATATTTTCTGGGTTAGATCCCCTTTATTTTCTGGTTTTGCCTGACAGCTTTGTCCAAAACCTCTAATACTAAGTTAACAGAAGTGTTGACGATAGGCAACCTTGTCTTATACCTGTAAAAATTAAGTTACATAAGTATTTTATTTTTACCATAACTATTAAGTAAAAGATGATTTTATTCAGAATTCTACTACTGTCAGAATTCAGTGTAACAGAATTCAGGGGGTGTCCTCTGCAAAATAATGT